GTCATTGCTTGTACATGCTGATACTCAAATAGATTTGTTTTAAGTAATTGGACCATCATGCAACTTGTAGCTGGTTGCCATGGCATCTTGAACCATTCCTCCTCATCGTTTCTTTCATGAGGAAAAGGGTAATCTTTCTTAAGCGTATGTCAATGACTTTGCTTGTCATAGTATTTTGTATTGAGTTGTAGCAAAGACAGCATCCATCCCTCAATTCGGGTTTCAAATCGGTTCGTTGTCAGTGACACTGGACTGACTATTTTGTTGGATTTTGTAATGGTATTGAATGACCAATCAAAAGTGGATAAAATCACGATAATGTCCTGGTGGTTTTGTCTCGAGCAAAATGCCAGCTATTTCCTGCCTGTATTCTTGGTTATCATTCTTGTTTGTCGTGATTCATGTTTCCGACATTTGATTTGACAACCTGGATGTGATTCAACATAGCTGTGTGTTTAGGAAATAACAAAGACTAGCATTCAGGAATTAAGGAAGATCTAATGACATTTCCTTGTGGACAGCCACTTTTACCATTATGTAGTTGGAAACTCTGTAGCGAATCATTTTATGTTCTAACCCCAAGTCTTTAAGCCAGTGACGTCAGTCAGTAAAATCTGGTCCCAAACATGACTTCCACTTGACCTTGCATTTCAAGGTCATTACTTCATGTTTGTCATAACTAAAAAGGATTGAGGGGTCAGGTTCTCTAACTTGAGTGATTGTGCATCACTGTATCTTAAACCTATCGTGATGGTTTAGGATGTTGGTTTATTCATGATGTTTGAGGGGAAGGGAGTGGTTAAAGCATCTCTCGTCACGCGGAAGACCCAGGTGCCATTCCCAACATGAATACAATGTGTGAAGCCCATTTCTGGTGTCCTCCATCTTGATGTAGCTGGAATATTGCTAAAAGCAGCATAAACCACAACTCACTCACTCATTCGTAACAGGAGCTGATCATTCCCTCCCCAGCACTGACAGCCATGGTCAGCAAGAGATGACTGCAGCCATTCTGCGTCTCGTCCGCGTCAAACATCTCTCTTATAGTCTGTAAGAAAAGAAAATGTTCAAATTGATCAGGAAGGACAGCACTGAGTGCAAATTGGTATTGATACTTAAACCTGTACCTGAAAATACTCGAAAAATAATTTGCATTTAAAAATAAAATTACTAAATGGCTTTATTATCCAAACCATAGGCTAATTACTGCTAACTACTACTCAATCACCCCCGGGTCAGCACCCTGCGCCATGACCGAGGCACTAGTTCTTGCGCCATAAGCGTCATCTCTCCTTTGTTCCATCGTCTACAGTCGGTCATACTTTTCAAGTATACATGTGTTTCACCATATCATCGTCACGACATGGCTGAAATATATGGACTCACTCACTCACTCACTCACTCACTCACTCACTCACTCACTCACTCACTCACTCACTCACTCACTCACTCACTCACTCACTCACTATGAATGTTTGATGATATTTGGTTTGTAGATAGTCTTACATGAAAGATAGGTCAAGGTATCTGGTCAACCAAAAAGGTCAATAATTGGTATGTCAGAGACCAAGCTGACAGGTACCCAAACTTGCCTGGTAAAGGCGGCACCTGATGATACTTGCTGGTGACTTAAATAAATATTGGCGGTAGATAGATTGCTTTTTGAAAATATGCATGAAATCAAAAAGGTCACGACTGTGTAGTAACAGGGTGGTAGGGCAGCCTAGTGGTTAAAGCGTTTGCTTGTTGAGCCGAAGACCCGGGTTAAATTCCCCACATGGGTGCAATGTGTGAAGCCCATTTTCTGGTGTCCCCTGCGATGATATTGCTGGAATGTTGCTAAAAGCAGTGTTAAACCAAACTCACTCACTCATTCACTCACTGTATTGTTAAAATATAAAATTAAAAATAGAAATGCCTTCATTCAAATACCAAAGCAGCTAGGAACTCCCTTTATTTCAAACATTGGATTCATGTTGAATTCAGCTTGACATGTCATGTAATCACTGGTCAAGTACGACAGCTAGTCCAATCAGTCAATATTATGAGGTCAAAGGTCACACAACAGTTATTGAACCTGGGGATCTTGAACTTGATGCCTGCAGTTTATAATGACTGTCCTGCTCAGGATTTATGTAGATTTGGACTGTCTTGTGTACTGACAGATCGAACTGAATGACAGCCAAATCAGCTCGTAAGTATTGACAAGGCCCAAATGTTTGAAGCAGCCTCTTCACTACACCCGCTTTGGACATGTAGAATATCTTGGACAGGTGTCATGACAAAAAACGTAAAACATACTGATAAATTTAAACCAATTCCAGAGCTCAAGTTGAAGTTGAAGACAATTTACAGGCCAAATTTATAAGCCAGTCGGAAAGGTTTCTTCTTTCAAAATTGAAATCTTGAACAAAATATTTTATAGAACCAAGCTATGAGCTAAGGTATTGCTGATTATCTAAGGGTGGTGAGGTAAAACCTCACTCACTCACTCGCTAGTCAAACAACATGCGATTGTAGCACTACAACTGTCGCAAGTCTATGAGTCGCAAGTATGGGAGTTACGATCACCTTACCGCTGCAATCACTATGTTGAATGGAGCCCATGGAGTTTTTGCTGGCAACAAAATATATCCTGTTGGCAGGGAATGATGTATGCAAAAATTTGTGCCAGTAAACAATCGCTGACACACTTTGACTTAATTGAAAACGTATGATCATTCCAGTGTTAGATTTTGTCTTCAGAGCTAATTTTATATGTGGATTTCCATGTTTAAAAGGCTAATTTTGTGACCGAGGATATTTGGAAATAGTCGGTTCGAACTTTAGTTGTACTTCTTGATTTCCATGTTTAAAAGGCTAATTTTGTGACCGAGGATATTTGGAAATACATGTAGTCGGTTCGAACTTTAGTTGTACTTCTTGATTTCCATGTTTAAAAGGCTAATTTTGTGACCGAGGATATTTGGAAATTGTCGGTTCGAACTTTAGTTGTACTTCTTATTAGAACTGATAGCAGGTATGTGAAGGGCACATACACACGATATAGAACGCAATATTTTGTGTTTGACAACACCCAGCTGACACATAACCATTTTGATGGCGTAGTTGTCGATTTATGACACAGGCACACTGTTGTGTAATATTCATGAACTGGTGAATACCTCCCTCACTTCCTGATAACGTATTCAATGCATGCCATGCACCCTTCTGCTGCTTCCCAAAGGTTGTCTTTGAACCGTGAAATCGGCTGTATACAGCCTGCTTTCAGATACTGTGTATGGGCGTCCTGCACCTGTAGCAGAGTTAGAAACTAGCACTCGTCCTGTAGTCCTTGCCAAACTGCCCAACAGTTAAGGTATCATAAGGACTAGTAGAAATTTGCCATTTTTAAGGGTTTGGCTATATATTATCATTATAAGGACTAGTGGACTAAGAATGTTAGTTTCTACCACTGTTAATGATATAAGTATAAATGTACAGGTTAAGGGAGTACATACTCCGTACTACTCAAAGTCCAGGCACAGAGGCAACTATGCGTGTCGTAAGAGGCGACTAACATGATCAGGTGGTCAGGCTCGCTGACTTGGTTGATGCATGTCATCGTATCCCAATTGCATAGATTGATGCTCATGACGTCAATCACAGAATTGTCTGGTCCAGATTCGATTATTCACAGACTGTTGTCATACATCTGGAATAGTGTGGCGTTAAACAACAAACAATTCATTCATTCATTCATCTTTTTCTGCCTGACGAGTCTGTTAATACGTATCAGTCACAAGCTGGGGATCAGTAGAGAAGAGAAGGATGTGTATTACACTTGACCCAACACGCTCAACATTCTGGAAAGAGATAAGTCATTCATTGATTGGACCCGTGATGATCCGGGGTAGAATAGGTCTTCAGCAACCCATTCTTGCCGTGAATGACGACTATGCATGTCGTAAGAGGCGACTAATGGGATCGGGTGGTCAGGCTCGCTGACATGGTTGATGCATGTCATCGTTTCCCAATTGCGTGCGCAGACTGCTCTTACGAAATATGGTATTAAATCCAACTTACTCACTCACTCAGTATGTTTTCATTTTCGCAAGGCTGACATATTTCACCGATGGGAGAAATATGTTCTGAACAACAAAGAGAATCTCTGATATCAGTACTTAGTTTTAGGCTGTTGTTTTGAATACTGTAACACCTCTGAATGTAAGAAAAAACATGTAATAACAAATTTTGTAATAAAATAATGTTTTTACCCACATTGCCTGCCACAGGCACGTTAAAATCGTAGATAAATCACTTTCACAACTTTTGATGTGGGTCCCACGACTCAAAACAACTGGTGTTAAGAAACTATCATTAAACTTCCTGGTAAGACTGAATATTTACAACAATCACATATTTCTGAACATTTCCTGATGAGGATGACAGACTGTTACATAAAGGATGTTGCCAAATTATAGTGATTCATCTGAACCACTTTGAAGATCTTTGTCAAGTTTAGGCCAAAAAGTGAATTTCATGCATCTGAAGGTAAATTAACAATGATTTGTGTTTCATGCTTTTTTGTGAATGGATATTGAAGATTTGAATTGAGCTGACACAGACAGCTAACAGCCCAAACATTAATTTATTAGGTTGTTATGAGTGATTATTGCATGCATCTGTTTACAGCAAGGGTGTTTGGTTTGTTTACCACAAGGGTGCATTATGTCCATTGTTTCGGCAGGTTGATATTCTTCGTAACGACCACGACCATCGTCTCGCAAAGCAAAGCATGTCAATGGCCATTGTGGTATAAGTCAGTTAGCATGGTTAGGGTCTCCCTTTTGGTGCAGTAAAAGTCCATATTGCACTTGAGGAAGGTCCTGGCCTGTTCTTGGCTTATATGGCTGTTGATCATGTTGATAGACAATATAGTTAATACTGCCTGAAATCATCACTTGTTATTATCATATTATTTGTTGCATTCTGCTAATGTTCGGTCCGTCGCGTTTCAGCGTTAGGATCCAGACTGTAAAGCAGGGGCAGGATGCCGCCCCCGCCACCCCCTCCCCCTCCTGCCCCCGCTGCTCCCCCTCCTCCTCCAGCTGGAAAGTTTGGAAAGGGTGGGGGAGGAGGAGGCGGCCGTGGAGCTCTGCTGGGAGCTATCCAAGGCGGAGCCAGGCTGAAGAAAGTACAGACCAATGACAGAAGCGCACCAACTGTAGGGGGTGAGTTCAACATACCAATTCACTTCTAGTTTTATGATTCACTACAGAGTTCAGGATCCTTTGATTATTATTTTGGTTTCAAATGCGTTAAATTCGCTTGTAGTTTTATGGAATATGAGATGGGGCAAGTGTGGCCGAGTGGTCTTCAGATTGCTTCAAAGTGCTGTGCAGAGTTGCTTCCCTTAAGCGTGCCAGAATCCTATGATCGTTTGCCCTGATTATGGTCCAGGGTTTGTCAGTCATCACAGTGGTAGACGTCATGTAGGGCCCACATCACTTGGTCATAGTCCCCAGGGCCTCATTTGACAAAACAATAATAGCGCTATGACTGTCGTAAGTCTTTCTTAAAGTATGGGAGTTACGATCGTCATTGCGCTACAATCTTTTTGTGAAACAGGGCCCTGGACTTACATTTAATATTTGTGGGGAAAGAGCACATGTTCTGGATCAGTGCCAGGCACTTGGAAGTTCTTGGTTCTACAGTTCCTTGTGTATAATGAACATCAAAGCTTACATGTCACCCCTTCATAATCGTCATCATCAAAACAATACTGCCTCATTGTCATATCAATACTGCATCGGTTGCAGTTCCAGAGCACACGTCATCTCATCCTTGGTTATCCAGTATATTGTACCTTATTCTTTACGATAAAGGGGTCACAGTAGTTCAAGGCGCCGCGATTCGCTGCACAGAGTTGTGTCCCTTGGGCACGCCAGAAACCTATGACTGTGGGTTCGAATCCTGGTTTGCCCCAATTGCTTCTAGGTTTGTCAGTACCATACCCATGCTCGTGGGTTTCACCGAAGTCTGAGACCTGCATTACTTCGAGCTTTCCTCCCACATTAGGTTGACACTTCCTTTATGAAGTGACTTTATCATCTTCATCGCTTCTATCAGCAACTAACCATGGAATTTCTCTCCAGCGTTACAAATTGGCACTAGTCCTATAGCCCTTGCCAAACTGCCCAATGTTAAAGGTATCATAATGGAGAAGTAGAAATTTGCCCTTTTTAAGGGTTTTGCTATGTGTTATCATTATAAGGACTAGTGGACGAAAACTGTTAGTTTCTAACCCTGCTCTCACTCCGGACAATTATTTGATTGGATGGCTATTTTAAGCATTGTGCCATTCAGATCAAGCTCAAAGTGAGGCTACTGTAGCAGATGGCCATCGATCCCAATCACTGGATTGTCTAGTCCAGACTCGATTATTTACTGACCGCCGTCATTAAGCTGGAATATTGCTGAGTGTGGTGTAAAACAACAAACCAAATCATGGTGCTTTGTCCAGCCTCTCAATGTTAGTTTAGTAAGGAAAAGTAAAGTAAACGTATGATCAGTTTCTTAATACCTTTATAACAACCGCAGACTTAGAGTGAAAACAATACTTATGAAACTAAAAGGGGAAATAAAGCACAAATGTAACTGTTTGAGGCTGTGTGACAGCCATGGTTATATGAAACCACAACTGTTATTAATCTTTTTCGTAAATGACGTCTTGATTGAGAAGTTGCTGTATGTATGAAAAAAATGTTGTCACCTACGTGGCCTGTAGAATCTTTTTCCAAGGGTTACCAGGGATAGAACATCTACTGGACCAAATAGTGACAACATAGCAATACCCCCTGAAAATTGAAATTCTTCAAGCCTTTAAGATATGTTTAACATTTACTAAAATCAGCATCAAAGTAACAAAATACTGTGTTATCAGATTTAAAATACAGCCTGTAAATTAAAATAAATAAATAAATAAATAAGCAAATGAACATAAATGTGTTGCATGGAAATATCATGCAGTACATTCGTAGTACATGGGGGGGCACAGGTGGCCCAGTCGTCTAAGGCGACGCGATTCGCTGTGCAGAGTTGCGTCCCTTGGGCACGCCGGAAACCTATGATTGTGGGTTCGAATCCCGGTTCGCCCCAATTATGTTTCTAGGTTTGTCAGCACCATACCCGTGCTCGTGGGTTTCACCGAAGTGGTAAACGTCTGAGACCTGCATCACTTCGGGCTTTCCTCCCACATTAAGCTGACACGCCGTGATATAACTGGAATACTGGTAAAAGCGGCGTTAAACCCAACTTACTCACTCTCTCGTAGTACATGAGTATTGTTAACTTTAGGCTTTGATATCCATCCATTTGAACTAGTCCGTAAATTTGTACTGCACTTGCATTTTGTGCAATTTGACTGTTGTAACCAGTACATTTGATATGCACATGCTTAGATTTAATGCATGAGCTTAAAATTCAAATCAAACTCGGTCAGTAAACTGTCAGTTCGTTACAAATAACCTACAGCTGAAACAATAGAGTGGTGTCATAGCCAGCTCTGTTTTACAAAATTGTAAGGTATTTATCATCATGAGAGTGACACATGTATTACCAGTATATATTTTAAGCATTGAAAGCACTTCACATTACTTTCACAGCCCTCCCCAAAGTGGTGTAATTTATTTCCATGATAACCCCCCATTCTGTCCCATAATAAAAGACCTAAGCTTGATAAAATATCATGCCTGGTCAAAGGGAGATAACCCCATTGCTACTGCTTAGGATTGCCTCGAGGACTACATGATTAAAAGTAACTTGTTTTTTTGTTTAATGCCGGACTATTCCAGCTATGTGACAGCACTCTGTAAATAATTCAGGATTTGACACTTTATTACCTCTGACCAAGTCCACCAGCAGGGTTAGACATGGCCTCAAGTGTGCGAAGTCAAGAATAATGTTACAAACTAGTTGGTTTTTGTACAAATTGCAGTTATTTAAATAAGACACTAAACATACTTTTTACTCTTGGGACTACAAATTGAGTTCAAGACAACCCAAAATTCAACACATCCAGCTTAAAATGGTGTTCTGAAACTGGACTGTGGCCTGTAAATAATCGATTCTTGACCAGAGCAATGTACGTCATCATTGGGGTATGATGACACACAGTCAACAGTCGCTGAGCCTGACTGCCCAATCCAATAAATCGCCTCGTATGACAAGCATGGGTTGCTGTGGAGCCAGAGTCTGAAATAATGTTACTCCAATCAAGCCATGCAAGAGTAGATCACAAACATATCATCTTTTAGCTCATTTATGATTGGTTTGGGGGTTGTAGGGCAGTGGGGCAGCCTAGTGGTTAAAGTGACTGAGTGAGTATGGTTTTACGCCGCTTTTAGCAATATTCCCAATATCACGGCGGGGGACACCAGAAATGGGCTTCACACATTGTACTCCCTAGTGGTTAATGCGTTTGCTCATGACACCAAAGACCCACACAAAAAGACCGGGGTTCGATTCCCCTCTTGGGTACAATGTGTGAAGCCCATTTCTGGTGTCCCCAGCCATGATATTGCTTGAATATTGCTGAAAACAACATTAAACCATAGTCACTCTTTTGCTCATTGTGATTGGCCTGGTTCCCAAGATGAACCAATCGTATGCACACTTTTAAAGTTCGTAAACACTGAAGCTGTTAACCAGGCAATGTTAACACGAAATTCAGTCGGGATTTGCAGTACAGCGGCTGTCCTCAATACAGTAAATCTACACTGACTGTCAAAAACAAACACTATAAGTGCTGAAATTTTCTACCTGACAGTCGGTCGGTCTGTAGGAGTATATTTCACCTAGCCTGACAGAAATGTTACCATGCCACTGGTAACTCTTTCAGGCAACGGGAGCACGGGTGGCCCAGTCGTCAAAGGCGCCGCGATTCGCTGTGCAGAGTTGCGTCCCTTGGGCATGCCAGAAACCTATGATTGTGGGTTCAAATCCCGGTTCGCCCCGATTATGTTTCTAGGTTTGTCAGCACCATACCCAGCATTAGAAATTGGCACTAGTCCTATAGTCCTTGCCAAACTGACCAATAGTTAAGGTATCCCAAGGACTTGTAGAAATTGGCCATTATTAAGGGTTTCGCTATATGTTATCATCATAAGGACTAGTGGACTAAAACAGTTATTTTCTAACCCTGATACCCATGCTCGTGGGTTTCACCGAAGTGGTAAATGTCTATGACCTGCATCACATCAGGCTTTCCTCCCACATTAAGCTGACAGGCCATGATATAACTGGAATACTGTTAAAAGCGGTGTTACAGCGGTAGAAACTAACAGTTTCAGTCCACTAGTCATTATAATGATAACATATAGCAGAACCCCTAAAAATGGCAAATATCTACTAGTCCTTATACCTTTACTATTGGGCAGTTTGGTAAGGACTACAGGACTAGTGCCAATTTCTAACGCTGTGTTAAACCCAACTCACTCACTCACTCTTTCGGGCAACAGTTGGCGGCCCCAAAAGTAGGACAAATCTGTACCGTATCTTTTTACGTTGCGCATGTATAACATCCAGGGGGTTAGAATTACAAACACAATGAACATGAAGACATGCCTTCACCTCAAGTTTGTTTTCAGCAAAAATAATTACAGCAAAACTGCTCTACTAATGTTAATTTTGCCGAGGACCCCTTTTTTTCGCAAACTTCATGCAGTCCACTATTTGTTTTTATTCGATACCGAGGATCAATCAATGCTATGTTTAGTCTCGTCCAATCTCAGCCTGCGAGAAATCGCCCATATCTGTCTACTAGTCTAGGTAGACAGGAGCCCAGTCAAGATGGACTGAGCTTTTGTCCAAGGTCAATTGTTGGGCAAGGTCAGTTGTTGTCCAAGGTCCGAGAGAATAGTAGTTTATGACTCCAATGTATTGAGACTGTAATCATGATGGCATTTACCAATCTGATCATTTCTTAAAATGTAAATTTTCTTTAAACAATCAGCATGATCAGTTAGAAATTGAACTGACGAATGATAACCTAATCTAATGGATGAGCAGTTGACTCTGATAGTTTCCAGTGTACATACTTGGGTGGTAGGGTAAGTGCAAGTGTAAGTGTAAGTGTTAAAACTGAACATCTAGGTTTACTTCCCACCTGGCTGTATTGTAGCCTGTCTCACAGTTCCTGAACCATATTAGGGCCGGTCGGGTAGCCTAGTGG